GTTTAGTCATGAAATTTTACTTGTCAGAATTTCGCGCTTCCATTATCACAGATATTTAGATTAAGGTAGAAATTTGGATACTCATAGTACCTGGCGATGCATTATGTTAATTTTAAATCTACTTTTCAATCACTTTCATCCGCTAAACATGAACTGTTGATTTAGAGCCAATACAGGAATATATGTTTGGAAATGTGAATAAATGAGACATATTGGGCGAAAGCCATGATAAGTAACTTCTCAATGACGTTGTCAATGGAGTTGAAGATTGAACGATCAATTCTTGGTTGTTCGCTCAAACCAACTTCCCCAATTTTCGCGGAGGCATCGATACGACAGTCATCGTCTCATCGGTCACTGTTCAGAAAGAAGTCAGCAGTAAACCATCAGAAGTAATATTGTGATTTATTATTGTAATATTTGTTCACAGACCCTAGTAAAAACATTATTTTTATATGTTGGTGTAACAATAAAGAATCCTCGAATCACCAATCGGTCTTTTGGTTTTTTCGTCCATTATTACTAAGCGTTTCTGAAAAACTGCAAGGAACAGCGTGGGCCCGAGCGTAGCAAGAGCTGAGCATTAACGGTTTATGAGACGTGGCTGACAGACGTCTTGAGCAGGAATAAAACTTTTATGGTGGACGACTCATAACAACAAAAGGAGTGGTTGGTCTCCGAAATAGACCATACGATGAGAGGGTAAAGAAATTAGGCCTATTAACACTTAGCTACCGTCGGCTTAAGGGGGATTTGATTACTGCCTACAAAATAACGAATGACTAGAATCACTCAAACAGTTTTTCTGCAGTTGAGTAGGTATAGGCTCCCTCGTGGAAATCCCAGATGGCAAGGACCCGGGTGCGCTCACACTTCTTTTCACTGCGGGTTTGTCGTCCCTGGAGTTACTTACCGGCAGATGTAGCTATGGCAGCGTCTTTAGACGCAAGCTGGACAACCATGCAGCGACGCAAGGACTGAATCCAAATGGCCTATCCCCTTAAAATCGCATACACCATTCAGGGGTGGACAATTAAACTTTTCGTTTTACTTCTTTACATTCTCTCCCGTCTTACTCTCATGAAAATTTAACTACACTTATTATTGTTATCATTATTACCGATACATACATATTATTCATATTATTCTTCAAATATAATCAGCTGACTCTTGTTACGTCTTTTTATTTCTTTTTCTGTCTGTTAGTCTGAATAACTTGACTAATTATATCTCTATTATTATCTCGTTTCTTGTCGATGATACCGGAGGACTAACTGGCGAAAGGATCAACTCCATTCACTGTAGTAACAGTCTTAACACACCTCATACTACAAACCACATATAATTAATACCAGCACTATTCCCTTTGGAGTTTTAGAGGTTGACGGATATCTCGTTCAGCAACTTCTAATTAATTTATTCTCGCGTACCAAAGACAAAGCAAAAGCCAATATTTGATCGTTCAAACTAAGTGATATATTTCGGGACAAAAACAAGCCTTCAGGCAAACGCCTAGCTAGCTAGTGATCGTGCACGTGACACGACGGGGTACCAAATGGCGGGGATGCTTGACCGGAAGCCTTCAGCTAAACAAGTCGACTTAAACAGTGGTGGTCAGCATCCAATGAGTGATTGCTGTGGTCAATAATTTTGGGGAATTATTTACCGCTACAGCTCACTCCCCCCCTAGTGGGGTCGTGAGGACCCTAAGACAGAACCAGCCGGAAGTAAAAAAAACTCGATGGTTCCCTTTCGGGTGAAAAAATCTTCCGAGCGGCTTGGTCGTATGCCTACTGGTTTGTCTGCCTATGCTAATAGGGTGTTTGTACATAGCTTCCTTGTTGTTGTTCGTTGGATTCCGTGCTTCGTTTGTTTCCTGTCCAGTGCCCGTCGCACCTGGAAAAGAAAACAAGAACGCTAAGAACCATGTCGAGGAAAATGTACCAAATCAGCTTTTTGGTTAAAAAAAATATGTGCATTTACTATACAGTAAAATAATGCTAAGTTCAGAACATCGAAAAAAATACATCTAATTAATTTTTTTGTGTATGTTACATGAACTGTTGAAAAAAATTTTGTGTTCGGTGGTACTGTATATAAAAAAATTGATACGTCAAAAAAATAGTCAGTACCACAAACGAATGAGTTGCGTGAATCACACGACTTCGTTAAGTCAAATAAGTGTGCAGATATTCTGGGAACCTTACGGTGCGTCCAGAACGGGTTTTCTTGGGAGGCTCGATAGAAGGTTCGGTAGCTGTCGCTGTGCTAGTGACTTCATCGATGTCTAAACGATCTTCTGTTACTTGTGGATTTTGGGGTACGTTGAGCTCTATGCTAATAGGATTACCCTCCAAGTAAGCCGGTTTCAGTATAGCCTCGACCTTAGTAGCCAGTGGGCGAATGCCCTTGCAGTCAATAGTGTGACCCAGGAAACTGAGTGAGTCAACACCGATTTGACACTTTTGAATATTGATGGTAACACCATGTTGGCGTAACCTTCAAATGCCAAGTCCAAGTGCCTAAGGTGAGTTTCCTTGTCTGGACTGGCAATGAGGCAGTCGTCTAAGTATGCGTATACAAAGTCGAGACCGCGAAATACTTCGTCAATGAAGCGTTGGAATGTTTGGGCTGCATTCCGGAGACCGAATGGCATACGTAGAAATTCAAAAAGTCCGAAAGGCGTAATGATAGCCGTTTTCGGGATATCTTCTGTTGCCATCGGGATTTGGTTATACGCTTTAACCAAGTCGATTTTGGAGAATATAGTCGCGCCGGATAAGGTTGCCGTCAAGTCGTGTATATGAGGCAACGGGTAGCAATCAGGGGTTGTTTTGGCATTCACTCGCCGGTAATCACCGGTGGGTCGCCAATCATTGCTATCCTTTTTCGGAACCATATGAAGTGGGGATGCCCATGGGCTATTCGAAGGTCGAATGATGCCAAGGGTAAGCATATGGTCAAATTCATTCCTGGCGATTCTCAGTTTGTCAGGAGCTAATCGTCGTGCTTTAGATGTCACAGGTTGTCCTGTGGTAATGATGTGGTGCATAACATTGCTGGTTATGCACGGTAGGTCGTTCGACGGGCAGTTAAGTTCCGGATACTTGTCAACAATAGGTTGAAAAGTTGGATCAAGAATTGCCTTTATCTTAACGGGTGACAAACTAGGGCCTATGTAGCTGATGCCTTTGATAGACAGACTAGTAGTATTGTCAATCAGTCGTTTTCGGCGGACGTCTACGAGTAAATCATGATGATTAAGTAGGTCCGTGCCAATGATGGGCATTGTAACGTCAGCGAGAAGGAAAATCCATCGAATAGGTTTGCGTAAACCTACGTTCAGATAGACGTATTTCCTACCAAAGGTTGCGATTGGTTTTCCATTTGCAGCCTGTAAGTTGAAGGTAGGTTCCTTCTGTCGATCTGCTGCTGTAGCAGGAAGGACGCTGACTTCGGCGCCTGTGTCGACTAAGTATCGAGTCTGGCTTATCACATCATGGATGTAAAGAAGGCGGCTAGTGCCACCGGCGACGGTTGCCGCTAACGCGTGCCGGCGGGATAGTTTCCCACAGACTTTGAGACATTTCCGAAGTTACAAGGCTTACGGCAACACTTCGCTTCTTGGCCATAGGTGTTGTGGTACCAGCACCAGTCAGGGTTTTTCAGTGAACGTGGTTTGGACTTAGATCGACCACGTGAGTTCCTGCGTTGAGGAGATTTAGGACGACGGTCGGAGGAGTTAGAAGGCATGTTTGACCTAAACATCTGTTGGATGGAGTTGCATAACTCTATCATTGCAGGATCCTTACTCGAAGTCTGCTTAGTCATCGAGCATATTTCGGGAACAGACCGTTTAGTTATCTCTAGAATCCTATCTGCAGTAATAGCTAAGTCCTCTATTACAGTACCCTGAAGTGTCACAAGTACGGTCTGTACAGACTGTGGCAGCTTGGTTAAGAAGAGTTCTCTAAATAGTCCTTCGTCGAACTGACTTTGGCCAATACTTCTCTCATTCTTGTCAGCATGCTCACGGCTGACTGATCTCCTAACTCGATGTTACGAAATAATTCATCTAGACGTTGTCGGTCCGTGAGAACGTTTCTCCTGAGGAGGGATGCTTTCAGCAACTCGTACGAGTTACTTACCTCGGGACTCAACATCTGTGATGTTACGTACTTGCTGAATTCCCGCGGTAGGGCGTGAATAACTGCAAGTAACTGTGAACGTTGATCGGTTATCCCATGCTCACAAAAATCTGCTTCAGCTAGCAGAAACCACGTTTCAGCATTATCTGGCCAGTATGGTACGAGCTGAATGGTTTTAGGAGTTGAGCGGATACGGATGACCTTGGGACTAAGATCACTCATGACGAAAATTATGTCGAATAATATATGGTACAAGAACAAATACAAAATGGAACGAACTCACCGGGGTTATCTGCGGATTTATCGTGGATGAAGTTCGCGGTTGGGCTCACCAGTTTAAAGGTTGACGGATATCTCGTTCAGCAACTTCTAATTAATTTATTCTCGCGTACCAAAGACAAAGCAAAAGCCAATATTTGATCGTCCAAACTAAGTGATATATTTCGGGACCAAAACAAGCCTTCAGACGAACGCTTAGCTAGCTAGTGATCGTGCACGTGACACGACGGGGTACCAAATGGCGGGGATGCTTGACCGGAAGCCTTCAGCTAAACAAGTCGACTTAAACAGTGGTGGTCAGCATCCAATGAGTGATTGCTGTGGTCAATAATTTTGGGGAATTATTTACCGCTACAGTGTCAACCAAAGCTAGGACAGTCGAGTGGGAGGACGAGCCACTCAGAAGTTTACCGAAGACCAGGAACTTATACCCTACAATCAAGATGCGAGCACAAAGAAATCAAATTGGTCTATACTAGTTCGTAAAATCGATATTGAATATTGGATTCACAGCACTGATGTTTCTAACGCGGCATTTATACTTCTGATTGCGCTACCTGGATTTAAGTGAATATGGGGAGGTGAGTTTATATGAACGCCTCTTATCCTAATCACATCTGAATCTATTATCCGATTTGAAGTGATAAATAGCTTTTGTTGAAAGCGCTTGGGTTTTCGAAAGTGGTTTAATGAAGGTACAAGTAGAATTGTAACAGTGTACTTTAAAGTACCGTAACCTCCATAGAATCGGTCAGACGATTTGATGTTTGTGGCTATTTTTTAGGAGCAACGGATTCAGTACTCCAAACTGCTTTTATTGTGTCTCGTGCTTTCCCTAAATGGGGATAACGCGTCTGGGACTACCCAATCGCTATTCAGACTTTGACAAGTAAATGTTTCACAATCTATTATTAGTTTGTTTCGCTGGAATAAATGTATTTCTGGTAATAAACTAAATAGTACCACACCTTGGATTACCTGAGTGTATTAATCAATAAGTATATTGACTGATCAATTTTTAGTGCCTCTGTTAGATAAAATACAAGTGTTTACCTTGAGAATTATCTAGCTGGACATAAACAGTTCCTGATTATTCGTAAATTGTTTTATATTTGCCATTGACCTATCGAGCCCGGATTATTTCTCGTAGTTATCTGCCATCATGTCTTTTTCCATGACAAAAAGAGGTCCTTATTATCCGGATTTTGATATATGAAGTTTCATTCTCGCTCTAAGTGATAGTTTATATCACAGCTAATCACTCTTATTTTTGAGTAGCATATATCATCATTGTACACACTGTATTTATTTAACCAAGCAGTTTTAAAATATCTAGTATGTTGTGAGACTGCTACATGAAAACAATTTTTTATCCATTTGCTAACGAATTTTCAAGATTGTTACTTGATTTCATTTCTCTGTGACATATATTCTTGTCCACTTTAACTTTCGCTAGTTGATCTGTGCACACATCACTGACTGTAACGTCTGTGGGTTTTATCCCTAAGGTAAGTTGAGACTGCTAATACCACTGTTACAATCTAAGTGCTTAAATGATCTAGATTAAAACTCATTAAATTTGTTTTCTTATTCTTTTATAATGATAAAAATCTTAGACGAAGAGAAGATGATCACTCACACAGCAGACGTCGTCGTTCAAGGTCTCGTTCCCGCTCAAGGTCTCCCGTCTTACCTAGGAGGGCATTCTCATCTACTTTAGAAGGGTCATTGCCTTTAGCTGCTTCTCTACCAACGTCGACTCTGATGGGCTCATTACTAGCTGCACAAGCTAAAGCTGCAGAAGAGGCTGCAGCAAAAGCTAAAGTAGAGGCTTCCAAGCCAGCAGTTGGCAGCATGACTGCTATCGCTAATGCAGCGGCTGATATGATTAAAGCCGCTCGTAATTCTGGACAGGGAATTGCTGGCACGGAAGGTGCTCTGATCATCACTCCAAATATGGACAAAGATATTGAACAACGTCGTCTTGACCTGGAAATGCAAAAGGTAAATGCAAACCATATCTTCTTGGTGTTGTTTAACACTGGTTTCTGTAACGCCTTGTAATCTAAGAAATTTATTTTGCAGAGACGAGAACGCGTTGAGCGATGGAGAAGGGAGCGCAAGTTGAAGCAAGATATTCTTGCAGCTCAACAAAGGCTTGCAGAAAGCACTAGGGCCTCTACTGCCAACAAATGGAACTTAGAGGATGACGATGATGAGGAAGACTCAAGCAAAAAGAACTCACGTACAGAAAAGCCAGAAGATGATGGTATTGATCCTTTGGATGCATACATGATGGTATGTTAATAGAAATATCGTTTTACCTTGTCATGTATTAGTTAAATTTTGCCTATTCCTCATTTGGTTTTTAGGCTTCCTTAGTAGGAAAACCTAAGGTATTTATCTTTGGGCAACGAAAGTTTTATTCGTATCTGATGCTCCTATGTGTGCACTTAAGTCTAGGCCTTCGTGCATGTGAAAAATCATGAATTTATTGTTACTATCATTGGAACACAAACCTGGTACGTTAGGGGGACCAAGTCCTCATAGTCTGTGCCTAAGCTGTCCGGACGTCCTAACCGAAGTAGGTGGGCTTGGGAGCTTATCTATAGGGCAGTGAAGCAGTGTCAGGAGCTACGTTCCGATGATTGCTGATGATCAAGGCAGTTTCATACTTCATTTGATTTTTCCACATTCCGGAGTTAATGGAGCACGTTGACCGCTTTACTTATTTGGGAAGTACCATCAGCCCCAACGGGTTGATCTCTGACGAAATCTCAGCATGGATACAGAGGGCTAGTTTCGCACATGCGCCAATTTACGCCGTCTCTGGCGTAGACGTGATATTCGACTATCGATCAAAGGGCGGTTGTACTGCTCATCAGTCCGCTCCGTCCTCCTTTATGGCTGTGAAACCTGGCCATTGAGAGTGGAAGACATGAAAAGATTAGCTGTCTTTGATCATAGGTACCTGCGTTCTATTTCCCGTGTGAAGTGCTGTAATAAAGTGAGCAATATTGAGGCTAGACTTCAGTCAAGTGCTAGGTAAGGAGGGGAAATCAATCGATGAGGTTATGAAGTTACATAAACTGAGATGGTTAGGACATGTATAACGTATGCCTGGCCATCACCTTCCTCGATGGGCAATGTTAGCTGATATGGGGTCAGGCTGGAAAAGAGCTAGCGGTGGTCAAACCAAAACATGGCTTCATTAGTCAATGAAATTCACAACAGTTAGTTTAAGGCAGCCACGTAGGAAGATGTAAACTTCCTGGTTGGGGTCCTCGGGACGGTAAACACCAATGGTTGGAAACAATTGGTGACATGACCCAAAATCGTTCTCAATGGCACAGATCCATCCACTCCTTTTGACCTGTGATTTCCAATGAAACTGTTTTGTTCTTCGTTACTACTATTCCTTTGTCTCACACCTCTGTTTACTGTCTTTATTATGGATTTCTTCTCTTGCTTTGTGTGTTACCTGGAGTGTGGCGACTTGAACATATGGCGCACATATGTGCAAAGTTCTATGTCGAAGACAGACATACAGACAGGAGCTAATGTACACCAGACATTCGGATTCAGGGCTTTCCAGCTCTCCTACTTAGACTTGCACGTAAACTAGTCTAGTTGTGGGCACTAGACTTTCGTATTCACCTTCGCCTGAAGGTGGCGAGTGGGTCTTACCTGATAGACTGAACGTGTAGTCAAATGAAAGTATTCCAAGAGCAAGACCGAAGTCTACCTTAATTCGGTAGTATCAGATTGTGTATAGGAGTGGAAATTAGTGTGTCACTTCAAACGGTCAAACATACGTAATCATCGTACTTTCAACCGATTATTTATGGAATTTGGTTTCAGATGAATATCATTCATAGTCGCTTATCTATTTATCAGTGTGGAACTAATGTTTTGTTTGGTAGGTGTGTAATTGCACTAATTCTCGTTTTCAGAAAATTCATTTCCTCGAGTTATGTGAAGATTACGTCGAATAGTTGAACTTCTAGACAAAAATTGACTGATGAAATATTTGGAAGTATTCAATTTTGAAATGCAATTAGCTTTGGAATACACCAAACATTTACCTTCCTGCTCATGCTTGAGTATCACATCTGTAGAAAGTCCATTTTACGATTTATCAAGGACAGAAAAGTAGTCGGATGATTGGGTTACATTTCTGTGTTTTATGGTATTTAGAAAACACTGACTAACTGATGTCAACGTAGAACTTTGTAAAAATATGCAGCAGTCGAAGTTGTCACACTCCATTTGGCCGGCAAAAGTATACTAAAGAGAGGAAAATAAGATCCAAGAGAACTATGATAAGCAGAAATGTGAGGAAGAAAGATTAGTAACGCAGAGAAGTATATGACAATTCAGTACATAGAGGAGATTACAAAGATTTGATTCCTCTGCACCATTGAGTCGTGTCACCATCAGTCTCCAGTCTTTGATTTTCGGTATTCCAATAATGCAGTCTACACCTCTTTATGTAGCTCATATCAATTTCTAAAAACTTAAGAGACTGACGCTAGGTTTTGGTTTGAACAACCCTAACTCCTTGTCGACTTGGTCCTATGTCGGCTAGTATTGCTGGATGGGGAAGATGATGGTATGAAATGCGTGACACAAGTCCCAGCCATATCATTGCATACAGCTTCACAACCTCATCGATTAACTTTCTTTCCTCACCCAACACTACTCCCAGCCCTAATATTACTCATCGTATTATATCATTTAACACAGAAATTAGGATGCAGACACAGCTAGTCTTTTCATATCTTCCATCTTCAATGGCCATGCCTCACAACCATAAACGAAGACAGAGCGAACTGCTGCTCAATACACACAACCTGTAATCAAAAGACAGGTGTCATGTCCACATCAGATATGGCGTAAGTCCTCAAGGGCGACATGAGGCTTTTGCGTCTGGGCAAAGATTTCATTCGCGATCAGTCTATAGGGGGAGGGGGGTGATGCAACTTCCTGAATAAGTGAGATGGTAAACAAACTACCATTTTACTTTCTATCTTTAAGCTAAGAGTCGATGTAGTCCAGTCCTGCAACATCATCTTACGTATGACATGAGCGGACAGCATGCAAAACATTTGGAAGTTTCTGCTCAAGTGTTCAGAAGACTGCATTTTGTCAGTTAGCGTCATCACCTAGGAGGACTAGATCATCCACATACTCTAAGCCAACAAGGGTGTTTCTTGGTGACAAATCAGTCCGTAAGTCATTAAAGTCAGTTAAGGTCAATCCTAATAGTACTTCTGTGCTGCAAGTAAACAAGAATAGGGACATTTGTGGTTGTCCTCACGACAGGTAACAAATCTCCATAAGCTTTTGAACAGCTACGCGCGTTGTAGTGGAGTGCCTTTATTAGTGTGATTTATCTTTTCACCAATTCCTTCACGACCCTTTAGTGCCACCAAACCTGCCGGTTGATGAAGTCAACCATCGCCTTCAGGCCAAGAAATATGGCAAGTGTGGAACGTGGTAAATTCATTTGTATTCTATAATCCGTCGATGGGTGAAGTTATTATTTATATTACGTTGTCTGAACCAAAAACTCACTACTTCTTTAGGGGCTTGTTGCTCCCGGGAGCTGTTCACTTTATGCGTGTTTATTAAAACCGGAATTGTAGATATTGTTTTGGTCAAGCTAATCCCCCCCCCCTTGATTATCACAATAATTCTTGTTTCCCTTCATATAAATGGGGGCTATCAGTGAATTGCACTATTCCAGTGGGACTCTAACTGATTCCCACACACTAACCAAGACCTTAGCCACGTATTTCAAAAGTTCACCTCTGCGGCTATTCCATCAGCCTCCACGGTTTTACTTTAGATTAGAGATATCTTTTGCAACCTCATTCACAGTTGAGGGGACAAAGCGAAGAAAAACGAATAACTTCTGCCGTATAGATGCATCAACACAGTTTATTCCTTAAAGCACCTAGTGGACGATCAGGTGAAATCACAATAATATCTTGAGATTTGCTTCAAATTCCAGATAATTTCGTCTTCTTCCTGCAGGTTACTTTGTGTCGCCCATTGTGCTAGTCTTTACATTTTACCATAGATTTAAGTGTGCTCCTAGTGACCCAATGAGTTAGAACTTTTGGGAAGTAAGTTTTCGTACGTTTTCTCATAGAGTATCAGCAACTGGTTCAATCTACCAATTTGTGTGGTTTAAGAGCGAAATTTCTATTGGATATCATCACTTCCTAATATGAGTCATTTCCAATGTTTTCGTATGAAGGAGTATTTGGTACAAATCAACTTGTGGTTTGCTTGGATTTATAACGTCTGGTTATCGTTATTATCAGGGACAGGTAGTACACCAGACTAAATGTATTCACTTCGAAAACCATCTGAATAACCAACTTCTAAATTAGATTTTAATATCACTTCAGTTTTTAATGGATAATTATTATGAGTTCTGCAAGTGTTTTCTCTCGTTTACTGGTGAAAGAACTAGTCTTTATTTTGTTATAAAAACACTTATTTTTGTATTTTAGGAACTAAATAGTCAAGTTTACTCTGGTGCTGACACTACTAAGAAAGACTCTCCGAAAATGCCTGAAATGCCAGTAAGTAACTCCGACACTTCCAGCCCTACTTCGAATCCAATCAAACCAAAACGGCAGTTAGTAATCAAACGAAAAAGAGTAATCGGTCGGGTGAATTGATGGAAAGTAATATAGATGAACTGGAATATTCGTCGGAAGAGGAAGACACTACAATTCAAGACGCATTGGCTCAACTGCAGAAAAAAGACAAACTACAACCTATTGATCATTCAAAAATTGAGTATACTCCTTTTCGCAAAAATTTCTATGTAGAAGTTCCAGAATTAGCGAAAATGTCGAAAGAAGACGTTAAAGAATATAGAGCTAGTCTAGAGAATATCCGTGTACGCGGTAGAGAATGCCCTAAACCTCTTCGCAACTGGGTGCAAGCAGGCATTAGTTCTCGTCTTTTGGCATGTTTAAAAAGGTAGGTTCTTGTTTTCGTTATTTGCAAAATTTCATCCGTTTTGTCAGCCATAAAAAAGTCACTTGTTATCTTATTGTAGCTGTTTGAAAGTTAACTCGCTTTGTTGACCAAACGCCCTGCATATTTTTAATCATGCGTAACTGATATAAATAGAGTTTATTTTCTGCAGTCTATGCCCGGTCGACAACTGCTACCTTGTCGTGGTGGTCGGGCTTGAATACCGCAATGACCCAACATGCTAAACTGACTGGAACTTTGTCCCTGTCCTACCATGTCAGGAAGGTTGTTTGGATAGCGGTTAAACTAAAAGCAGTTACCATGGGGTACATGGGCTCCAGTATCCAATCGGATCAAATGGCGTATGGACCCATATGGGTCACCGGAAACCATGGGGATGCAGCTCCTGACGCTGCTCCTCTGCCTTGCGGATTAGACTCCAAGTCAAAGGCTCGGGGTGGTTCCTTAATAAAACCACCTGCTTCGGTCTGGGCGCCTGGGTAGTATCTCAGCCCTGACACAATGAATGAAATAAAGCAACAAACTCTCATCAAAACTCATCGCGCTATTAACAATGATTTCAAGTAATATTTATGCCTCCAGTATCTTGTGTCCTTCCTACCTTACTTTTATTTTATATACATGGATTCCTGTATTTTACCTTTCCTAAACTTGATTTCTTAACCTTCGACAGCCTTTCACCTTTGTCTTGATTCCCAGCCTATCTGTGTCGTTTCGAAATGTTAGTAAGTAATCCTCAAAATGTTTCTCCCCAATGTGACATCTAACACAGATATCCTGAAACCGCGTGCCGCGTTCAAGCTGGCCACCTACAATGTTCGGACGCTGATGCAAATCGGACAACAGACAGGGCTGGTAAGAACATTGGAAAGCCTCACTATCGATGTCTGCTGCATTTCGTAGAGCCGCATTCAAGATCCCAGTGAAGTGCTTCGATTATCCTATCCACCTGGAAGTTCTAGTAGTATGTACCACCTGCGCTTATACGGCGTAGCTGGTGTTGCTGTCGCACTAAGCGCTAAAGCCGAAGCTGCATTGCTCACCTGGATTCCCATTAACAGTCGTTTATGTGCTGTGAGGCTGGAAGGTCATACAAAAGTAAGGAGTAGTAGGCCAGATATGCGGTGTCTATTTGTTGTCTCTACCTATTCACCGACGGATTGCAGCCCGGATGCAATGAAGGATGAGTTCTACTACCGACTCAGCGATCTCTTGAAACAGGCGGATTGGAGGGATATCGTAGGGCTAGCTGGGGACTTGAATGCACAGGTCGGGCATCTAAGCTCAGAGAAGAATCGTCTAGGTGGTGAATGGGGACTACATGGTCGCAGGTCAGATAATGGGGACCGTCTTCTGCAGCTTTGCGCGGATCACAACCTATTTCTAGGCAGCACCAACTTCCGGCACAGCCATCGCCGTAGCGCTACCTGGCGTCCTCCCTCTGCGAAGCAAGCTTGGACTCAGATTGATCATATTGCAGTCAGTTTCCGGTGACGAGAATGCATACAAGACTCTCACTCCTTCTGAAGCACATGCCTGGACTCAGATCATGCGTTAGTGTGTGCCAAGTTCGTCTTGCGATTTGGTGGAGTTCATAAAAGGCGTCGTATAAACGTTGATGTGAATAAACTAGTAGCACCTGCTACTGCTTTGAAATACCAGAATGAATTACAACCAATGCTTGCCAGCAACCCCCAAGTAGTATAGATGAAAATTGGCTTCATCTGCAAGGTGCCATGGAAAGGGCGAGTGTAGCCGCTTGCAGCTTAAAAGAATGCTCCGCTAAAAACCACTGGGTTTCTGCGAGTTCCTTGGAACTCCTGGATGAACGCCGGTCCATTCCGGCTGGCAGCGAATATAACAATCAGCGAAAGGCGTTCACGCGCAAGATAAGACAGTGTTTACGTAAGGACCGCGAAGCCTGGTGGTCAGAACGTGCGTGTGAGATGGAGTCAGCTGCTGCATCTGGCAACAGTCGGAAGCTGTTCCAACTCATCCGAGCTACCGGTGGCAAGTAACAAGGTGTTAGCAAGACGGTCTGTGAGACAGATGGCACACTGATTACCAGCTTAAAAAGACGCCTGGAACGCTGGGAAGAGCACTTCGGGAAACAGTTTAGCTGGCCAGCAGCTTCAGTGTGTACTGTCATTAGCCCCAGTGCTCTTTGGTTGGTTAATACCGACCCACCCACCGAAGCGGAGGTCCATAAGGAACTCCAAGTGTTAAAACGCCATAAGGCGCCCGGCCCAGACAATCTACCCCCTAGTAGAATATATGGTACTATTAAAATGCATAAGCCAGGCTACCCCATAAGACCAATAGAAGATTTTGGAAATACCCCACACTTATGAAGTATCAAAACACTTAGGTCTAATACTTTGACCCATTAGAAATCGTTCAAACTCTAGATTAACTAATTCATATGAGATGAAAAGTAAACTAAATGACATTCAACTAGACACTGATGAAACAATGGTTGGTTTTGATATAACTAGTCTTTACACTAATATACCAGTCAAAATGGCCTTAGAAGCAGTTACAAAAGAATTAACTGCAGATCCTGAACTCACTTACAGGACGAAGCTACCTATTGAAGAAATTATTTTAGGAATTCAGTTATGCCTCAAATCTACTATCTTTAAATTCCAAGGCAAAATATATAGACAAACTGAAGGTGTAGCAATGGGATAGATCACCAATATCCCCTATCGTAGGAGATCTCTCCATGGATCGATAGCCGGGAAAATATGGCTCTTAATACGTTTAATCCTACTCCAAAAATATGGTGGAGATATGTGGATGATACTTTCACAGTGTTGAAAACAAAACAATCTCTAGCTTCTTGACACATATAAACTCACAAGTAGAGGGAATAAAATTCACATTTGAATCAGAAAATGAACAAGGAGAATTAGCTATGTTAGATTGTAAAATAAAACGAATAGAAGAAGGTAAACTACACACTAGTGTTTATGGAAAACCAACGCATTCTAATAGATATTTGACTTTAATTCGTCTCATCCGTTAACTGTTAAGGCAGGCTTAGTGAAATGTCTAACCAACCGAGCCATAGCATTAGGTAGCACAAGAAAAGACGTAAATGACGAAATAAAACAGATAGAAGAAGCGTTGGTGTTGAATAATTATCCTATAAAATTCATTAGGAAGATCAGTAAAGGCCAAAAACAAAATAAAAGTAATTGTGGAACTAGTAATGATAACATAAATAAGAGAGAATATAAGTCATCCACTGTTATGCCATATAAGGAGGGGACATCTGAGACACTACATAGGATTCTGAATAATACAGTAATTAGGGTGGCATTCGAACCTACAAACTCCCTCAGGGACAAGCTCTGTAGGTTAGAGGACCGGGTTGACCCGATTAGACAAAATAATATAATTTACAAAATACCCTGCAATGACTGTGAGTTAGGTCAAACTAGTAGGTCAGGGATAGTCAGATTATCAGAACAGGAATTTAGCTAAGGGAAGAATGGTTGACCCTGAAAAGATAAGTAATTTAGAAAAAAGCTCAGCTATTGCACTTCATGCATTAACAAACAACCACACAATTGGGTGGGATAGGGTTAAAATTCTAAAAAGTAGCATAGGTAGGTGGAGAGAGAGGTTGATTACGGAATCCTTGTCCATTGAGTCTACACCCAACACATGCAACAGAAATGACTCAATACAAATACCAGAAATATGGAAGATATTATTACCGCCAGTCGGTCAAATCAGAAGAGGATAATAAATAATCTTAAAATTCTATTTCAATTCAAACACATCACAACATTCTAACAAGTAACTTATTATGACTATAAAAATACTCGTCATATTTCCCGTATAATTGTAATGGATCAATAACACTCGTACTATTATTTCTGAATGTGTATTATCTCATATTGATTTTTATTCCAATATCTAATCGATTCCACGCATGTATATAAATGAACGAAAAAAGTTGTGTGAGTAACTTGATATGATTATGAGTGACAATAATTTGTGGTCGAAACGTCATCAGTTAATATAACTGTACAACACTGTGTGATTCATCAAAATAAAATCTTATCCATAATGGAGTTATACTCTACCACAGTGCCCAAGTTTTACACTTACATCAATCTATCCCCTGCTCTTTTTAAAGATGTTGGCGAGACTCTCACAATGGCTCTAACTGGGTTGTTCAGGAAGGTATGGGAGACTGAGAATGTACCATCAATGTGGAACGAAGCCATTATCGTCCCCATCCTTAAATAGGGTCGACGTAATTCATGTGACAACCATAGGGGTATCAGTCTGCTACCAGTCGCGTCTAAAATATTGGCTGCTGTCTTGCTTCTCAGGCTGTTCAAAATACGTGAGGGATTGATTCGCGAAGAGCAGGCTGGGTTTCGTTCAGGTCATGGATGCATTGATCACGTGTTCACCCTTCTTCAGTTGTTGGAACACCGCCACAAGTATTGCAGGCCAACGATCGTTGTGTTTCTTGATATTAGGGCTGCCTTCGATTCGTTGGACAGAACTGTGCTCTGGAACTGTCTGTTAGAGAGAGGTGTACCTGAAAAATTTGTTAACATCTTGAAAGCCCTATACAGAAACACCTCGGGTAGAATGAGGGCATACAACCAATTATCATTACTGTTCCCAACCAACAGTGGGGTTAGACAGTGTTGCCCGATCTCTCCAATTCTCTTTAAATTTGCCATCGATGACATTCTGCAGTCAGCTCTGAAGGATGTGCGTGAAGGCGGTGTAGATCTACTCCCTGGAGATAGACTTTTCGACCTCGAGTATGCAGACGATATCGTCTTACTGTGCGATAGCATGCAGGCTGCCCAAATCGCACTTAATCAGTTGGCGATCAATGTCTGTAAGTATGGTATGTGCTTTGCGCCGTCTAAGTGCAAAGTACTGTTACAAGATTGGCAGGAGCCCTGTGTACCTGCACTCACTCTTCCAGCTGAACTGCTCCACGT